TAAAAATAATACTAATTGACTTGCTACCACAATTAAAATTCTTTAACAATATAAAATATAAGTAAATAACTCACCTCCTAATTAAAAATTCTTTTTTTTTATTAATAATATCATAGTGTAAAATTAAACTTCAAAAGGTCTAGGTACATTCACATTCAACAATGCAATAAATCTCACTCCTTTACTACTACCATTAAGATAACAAAGAGAAAAGGAAATTAATTATAGATAGCTAGAGAGCTCCATTTTTACCCCTCTAATTCCTCCTTTAATTTATTTTTCTCTCAAACTAATTTTCTTCCAATGGAACTTGATCCATTTTTTATGTCCAACAACATGTTGAAACAAGAAAATGATGATTTTTGCTTAGACTCTAAAGATTATCTTCAAGATTTTGAACACCTTGATCATAACTTTTCTAATACTTTCAACAATTTTTCTGAAAATTTTGTGATTGATGGTAACACCAATGGTACTTATCATGACCCTTTTGATCCATTTTCTAATATTGAGGATAATTTTTCTTTATTAGGGGATTTTAACTTTAGTAATTATGAGCTTAATCCATTTGATCAAGAAAATGGAGAGAGTAGTGGTATCAAAGTCATGAAGAATAATTTTCATGTTGTTGATGGTGTGAATGTGCCTGATGATCAAAGTTCATGTGTCACTGGTGATATTTATCATAACAACTTATCTTCATCTATGAAGAAAAAGCTAGGTGGGGGTAGCGGGAGGCCGAAGAAGTCTAAATCGTCTAAAGGACAATGGACAATTGAAGAAGACAGGTAAGTAACCATATCTCGACTATTGAATTATATGATCATCTCATCGGAGTGCATATATACTTTTAGTTACTTATTTATGTTATAACTATTAAATTATATGATCATTTTTTAAACAGTGCCTAGATTGTTACACTTTTTTTTTTTGCCCTTAAAGACTTGCTTTGGTTAAATTTCTATATTTTAAAGAAATTAATTGATATTTTTTTCCAAATAGTAATAATAGCTTTATATGTTTGTGAAGGCTTTTGATCCATTTGGTAGAGAAATTTGGAATTAGAAAATGGTCTCAAATTGCTCAAATGCTCAAAGGGAGGATAGGAAAGCAATGTAGGGAGAGGTGGCACAACCATCTCAGACCTGATATAAAAGTAAGTATTTAATATTTTTTTCTTATTAATAAATTATTTCTTTGCAATTAATAATTTTAATCTTGCTTTCTGTTTTGGATCTTCTCTTAATATTAAAATAATATTGTTTCATCTTTTTGTTAAATGCAAGTTTATCACATCCCTCATAAAGTTTTTTTTTTTTTTTTTTTGATTGTTGTTTCTATATATGTGCCTGTGGTGGATTTTGTTTCTTTTATACCATGCGTGCATCTTTTAGATCATGGTATAAAGATCATTTCTTTTGAACAAACTGAATATTTTAATAGAAAATGTTAGACGGTGAGCTAAAATTTTATAAGTTAATTATTTCAAATGTTAGACGATACTCCAATATTTTGTCGATAAGGTTGATCAATAAATGAGAAAAAAAATAAAATCAAAATCTAATGTTTTTTGGAAGGATAATTTTTCAAAAGCTACATTTGCACAACTATTAAAAATATATAAACAAAATCTAAATGCTAGTGTAAAGGGGGGAGATTTGCATAAATCAACAACTTGCATACAAGTATAAAGATTTTTTACCACCATCACTATAGTTTTACCTAAATAGCATATTAATTGCCATTTTTATCCTTTTAAATTTAAATCTATATGTAAGTACCTTATATATTATTTGAATGTGTTAGACTGTCAGTGCATAAAACTTAAATTTTGTCTGTATTTGTGTTGTCCAGAAAGATTTTTGGACGGAGGAGGAAGATAGGATCTTAATCCAAGCTCATGGTGAAGTTGGAAATAAATGGGCAGAAATTGCAAAGAGACTTCCTGGAAGAACTGAGAATTCAATTAAGAATCATTGGAATGCAACAAAAAGAAGGCAATTTTCAAGAAGAAAATGTCGTACCAAATGGCCAAGACCTAGTTCCCTCCTTCAAAATTACATCAAAAGTTTGAATTTAGAAAAAGGAAGCACCAAAAAGAGCAATGACACAAATCCCAATGGTCGCGTTGATTTGAGTTGTGTAGAGTTGTCTAATTATCCAGGAGGCTTAACCTACACTGGTTCAATCCCTGAAAAGAAAAATGAAAATTTGGTCAACAGGCCTAATAAGCGCCATGCTAAGGTATCACCTAAGCCAGAAGCTATTGAATTTTGTCAAGGCAATAATAATAATAATAATAATATTGGTGATTTTGATTTGAGTGAAGTCCCAGAATTTACATTGGATGATAATTTTTTCATGGAAGAAATTAATATTCCTCATGTTGGTTCTTCATCTATTATGGTTAATGAGAATAATTATGAGAAATGCATGGGAATGGAGATTATGCCTTATTATGAAGTGCCAACAATGATGCAAGGTGAAGTCAACAAGGAGATTGATTTGATGGAGATGATTTCTAGAGTTAATTAATCCATAGATATTATAATGTTTTAGAAGATTTATACATATTTAAATATTAAGTATGACAAAAATAAGTGTACTAGTTAATAGGGAGTGATAATGTTTCCTTGTGTTGTTTTATGCTAATTCTACCAACTTTATGTGGTGAAAGACTCTAGTTAATATATCATACATTGTGTCTTATGTATAATTCTTTTGAGAAGTTGTTTTCCTAAAGAAACTTGTTTTTTTTCTAGAATTCAAAAATATTGACCAATCAAATATTAACAAAATTGAAAACACATTTTCTTAAAAGTATTTTTCTTAACACACCTAAAAAGATTCTGTTTTTCACATTTTTTTCAATCTAGGTGACTTGCTCCACTTTTGCAAATACAAATGATTATTGAACTTTTGTGTTATTTTATGCATTAGGTAAACTTACCTATATATAAATTTAAAGGATCATTTAGCTCTTTTTCTTTAACTAGTTTGATGCACATACATTGCACGTGAATATCAAATCATATATAATAATATTTTTTAAAATAATGTCAATATTATTGAATAATGGATGTAAACTTTCTTTTGATTACTACGGTAAGTTGTCAAACCAACATCCGAAAAACACCTATAACTATTTGTAATATAAAACTAGATATAGATAAGGTGATTTGACACTTATCTATGACCTCCAATATAATCTAATACAATATATAATATAGAAGATATACTTAATCTGATGTTTTAAATTGGGGGGCATTATAATAATTTAACATTTAAGTTAGATAGTTCATACTTTTAAGGTAGTATTGATATAGATAGATAAAAAGATAGATATAGATTTGTCTAATTTTAATTTGATATGAAGTTTTAAAAAATAAAGAAGACTTTTAATTTAAGGATATGTAGAATATATAAAAATATCTTTTAACTTTATGGTCTTAAACATGCCGCACAAAAAAAGAACATTCGATATTAAACTGAATAAAAATAAAAGTACAACAATTAAATTGGAAACATGGGAGTACTTATTAAATCTAGGTTGGACTCTTCAAACAAGTTTTTGATCAAATCATTTTTCTCCAACAGTTTGAGACTTTTCATAGCTTGAACACCAAGTTGTAGTTTTTGCAACATAAAATCATTGAACTTCTTTTCATGTAGAAGTTGTTGCAAAAGTATATTTATGACAATGAAAATGAGTACATATTAATTATCTGGATGGTCTTCTCGTTTGAAGTTGTGTTATTTCATTCTCCTTGTTGCATCAATTTTAATTTGTTGATCTGTCTAATTTATCCACAAAAAATATTGTAATTGCATAATTGAACAATTCTCACAATCTTCCTTGTTTTAAGAAGAAGAATAGAAAACTTACAAAATTCGTAGATTAAAAATGTGAGAAAATTTATAGACAACAAATGATAGTATGAAAATGTGCTTATCGTGCCTTATCAGATAAGTCACAACTCTTCAGAAAAATCACAACCATTCGGAAATGTCATAACTCATCGAAAAAGTCACAACTCTTTTAAATAAAGTCACAACTTTTTGGAAAAGTCACTACCCATCAATGTGAAAATGTGTCAGTTTTTAATATAATATAGAACAAATAAAATAAATAAATATAATATAACATAAAATATATAATATATATATATACTAAATTGGGTGTCTTAAGTTTGGTGTATTATAGTAATTTAACATTCAAATTATGAAGTTCAAGTCCACTAAAGTCATAAAAAAAATCAGAAAAAAGTAAAGGTTCCACCGAGACTTGAACTCGGGTTACTGGATTCAGAGTCCAATGTCCTGACCACTAGACCATGGAACCCAATTTGTTATTTTCCCGGAACTTAATTTACAAATTGACAATTTCAATCAATTTTAAATGAAGCCAAACTTTGGACATTTTTATTGAAGTTTTACTTGTCAAGACTAATTTTCAAACATTTTTTTTTATTGAAGTACATGCAAAAAGTAGCTAAAATTACAGTCACGTGTGTGTGAAGTGTTGATTCCCCAAAACAAGGTATTGGAATTTCAACAACTCAACATTCAAATCTACTTCAAGTAAGTTCAAATTTGAAGCATAATTTTCATATACCATAAATAACAAACTCCAATGATTAATCTTTCAAAACAATAACAAATCGAACAAACTCATTTGACATCGTTTTAATTTTGTATGACTAAAATGCATGTAAAATTGACTAAAACTTCATTCACGTGCATCTAAACTCTGAAGTGCAATTGAATTATTTTTCCCAAAAAAATTATTCTTAAAATTTTAACAATTTGATATTGAACTTACTCAAAATATTTAAAACATAAATTTCATATATTACTAATAATATAATATATATTTTAAAGAAGCTAAATGTTATTTTGAAAAACTGGATACTTTTTAAATGAGGACCACCAATTGGTTACCAGTGAAAATAGATATAGGTAATATAAAGCCCATTAACATATATTCTCTCAGAGCCCAAGTCCACTAATAGCCTAACCCTAAGCTTCACTACAAAACCCAATCTCTTCGTACATCAAAGGGTTATTCAACGGCGTCAGTCTTCTCTGCTATTTCTGTTCGATTCTCCGCCGGCGACAATGGTAAGTGATATCATGCAATGTATTTTGCTCTGGAAATTGCTTAAGATTAAGTGATATATCGAGAATTTATTACAATTTTCTGAAATTGAAAGAGAATAGTAGCAGATCTTTACTAATCATTTCGTATAGAAGCATGCTGCTAGTTTGATTTTGTATAATTGTATGTGTTTCATTGAATCTAGTAATGTTTTGATGGATTTATGAATGTTGAATTTTTGAAGGTGAACGTTCCTAAGACAAAGAAGACTTACTGCAAGTCGAAGGAGTGCAAGAAGCACACCTTGCATAAGGTTACGCAATACAAGAAGGGGAAAGATAGCTTAGCTGCTCAAGGAAAGCGTCGTTATGATCGCAAGCAGTCAGGTTATGGTGGACAAACAAAGCCCGTCTTTCACAAAAAGGTGAGAAACATTCTCTAGCATGTATACAACTTCTATGTTTCAATTCCAAATTACTGCGTATTGGCTATATGATCTAGAAGATACATTTCCACTGGTATCAATCTAATAATCCAATTTTTAAGTGAGGTAGCTAATTCTATAAATAGTCATTTACAACAACATATGCAGTGTAGTCCACAAAGCTAGGTCTGGGTAGTGTAGTCTATGTAGACCACTTACCTCTTACAAGTAGATAGGCTGTGTCCGATAGACCCATGTCTCATCACAAAACAGTCCAATGCAGTCCCGAGAAAGAAGTAACGGAAGTACAAGGAACAACGATTATAGCAAACAGCAGATATTAACCGAACAAAAACTACAATTAAACAACATTATATGAGCTATACTGCATTAAATAATCATTTACCTGTTTGGATAAAACTGATCATTGGCATCGCAAAACTTTGGTTACAAATTAGTCTATGTCTTTATTCACTGTAAGTCCTAAACTGTTTAGATAGTATTGTTTTTTGTAGATATTATATTTTAGAATATCACCATCTGTAAATTAAAAGAAATATGAGATTCATTACACATAATGTATGTTTTGTATAAAAATAATGAAGATTTTGAGATTCTTGATTAAAAATATCATTACTATAGTTTTTTTTTTTATATAAAATATTTGCTAAAATTTGAATAGTGTCGAAAAGGATTGTTGATCTAAGTAGCTTTGTTATAATGTTAGGTAGTTTCTCTATTTTTGAAGTATGCTTTGTTATAATGTTCACGTATATATGCAGTAATATTGTTCCGTTAGAGTTCTCTTCTTGATGTTTGAGATTTTGAAGTGAGTGGCTACCAAATGATATGGATTTTGAGGCTTCCATCTCATATGTGATATTAGTCTCCCAATTATCACATCTTGTTCATTGATGATTTAAAGTGCAATGAGGCAAATGCGTTTGTGTTGGAATTAATTTGAGGTTAAAAGATATTGACATAATCGTCTCACTTTTAGTGATAACAGCGCTCTAAATACATTTCTGTTAGCTTAACAAAAGAAGTTCTTATTTGATTTTCTTGCCAAATACATTAATTGTTTATTTTTAGTTTTAGTACTTATATTCAAACATATAAGTTCCTACTCATGAATAAATTAGCTTCAACACTTGAACGGGGCTGGTTCAACATTCCGTGTTTAAATTAAACTTCAAGGCCCGCTAAGCCAAACATGCTCTGGATCTATCTCAATCCAATAATTAATGAACATTTGATAGTTAGTGACTTAATATAAAGATGGAATATTAGTCATTTGATAAAATGAGAAAGAGGGAGAGAATGAGTTTTCCAATGATTAAGCACCATAGTCTGTATGTGGGCATGTTTGATATTCAAGGCTTGTTTCTTTATCACTGATTTGTTTTTATCTTTCTTTCGCCTTTCCAAACCAGGCAAAGACCACAAAGAAGATTGTCTTGAGATTGCAATGCCAAGGTTGCAAACATGTGTCGCAACACCCAATCAAGGTTGGTTACTGATAAATCTCTAGTCTGCAGTTTCATTTTCATTATTATTATATATAAAAAATATTCATTGTTCTTGATGTTGTGCAGAGGTGCAAGCATTTTGAGATTGGTGGAGACAAGAAAGGAAAAGGAACCTCTCTTTTCTAGATTGCTTGTGAAGCAGAATTTGATCTTTCTCTTCTGTTCTATTAACTGTTCAGATATTTTTGTTATATTGAATGTAGTCAAGGAGTTTATGTTATCAGTTCATGATTAATTATGTGCTCAATCAGTGATTTTATCAGGAGATGAAATGAATATTTTAAGTTTTTGATTTAGCAGTTTTGATTGTCTTGTTGATGCAATGATGCTTAAGCTTTGGCAAGAAAGTTCAACAGATGTACTGTCCTTGAGTACATCAATTCGAACATTGGTGTTGTATTGTTTATTTAGCTACTTAAAAGTAGAATCTGTAGTGGAAGTTACATTTGTTGCAAGGTATTTCCGGTTTTCCTCTCCCTTGCTTTCGGTAAACTTGGAAATGCTGTGATTAGTTCTTCTTTGAGTAAATATCTCAAAAGGTCCATCGAACTTGAGCCTGAATGTTGAATACACTTTTTTTATTCTTTCTCTTTCCTTCCTTGTTCTAAAAAGGAAAAAAAGAGAAGAGGGGGAGAGGGATTCCTCACCAATATTTGATTGGATCAGTTTGGCTATCAAGCTATTTTGTGGTGGTAGGGGACCAGACTGGTGATTGCTGCGGTTGTTGTCTGCAGGGTATGTGACACCGACACCCCACAAGTTAACTAGTGCTGAGCCAACTTTTAGAAACTATATAGTAAAGTCATTCAACTTTGTTTTGTAACAATAAAATTACTCATTCAAATATTTAATCAAAAAAATCTGACTTGTCAAATGATTTTTTTTTATTTATATATTATTTTATTTTGTTTTGTTTTTTATATAGAAAAAATCTAAAAATAATATAAAAAGAACTTTTCAGAACTATTTTCTTCATTTCATATTATATTTTCTCCTCCGATTATCATATGTTAAGTTTTCTTGATTGATAGTGAACTCAAAGGTAAACGTAACACCCACAAAATTCTATCATTACCTTTGAGTTCATTATATTATTTTTATATACATAAATGTTTATATATTTACTAAAATTCTGTCAATTTTATTATGGATTAAAATTAAAAGATTATAGATTAATTAGTACTAAAATGATGTTTAATATCTCTCCTGTAAACTTGAGCTGCAAGAAACAATTAATAGTGCTCAGACTTTTGATCCCAATAAAAGTGAATTCATTTGATACGACATATATTTTAGCTCCAAATTAATTTGGAAAACTTATACTAAGACCTTAAGAAAAGGAAAATAGGTGGAAGTTGTATTGCTTTGTGAATCAAGCTCGACCGTCTTTTCCAGCCCAAGGATGTTTAGGATGTGGACTCTTCACCGACAACTTAAAACAAAGAAAGAGCAATATGCGTTTTCTCCATAGGCATTATGGCGTGTACGCGTAACTATTTAACCGTCTCGCTTTCTCTATCTATGCCCACCTCACATGGCCTTATCACCCATCACTTTCCTTATCATTTCTCTTTTTCCATGTCACCGTTCAAGTCCATAACACGTATTGTCACTTTGTTTCACACACCTCACGGATTTTTCCTTTAACCCCTACTCAGACTTACAAATTTAAATTCATGCGACAACACCTTTTAATTTCTCGTGAGACGATGATGAGTGTATAAATTAATAAATATAAAAAAAAATTGGTATGCTAATTTAATATTGATCGGACATAACAAGAAACTAAAAGAGAACACATTTCTTGAGTCAATACAATCATCGTTGAGCTAATGATATATCTCGAAGACTTGCAATTTTAGTATCATTTCAATTACCTAAATCTTTGCAAAGTGCAATATTTCTTTTTTAAAATATGTAGTATACATTTTTTGGGTTTATCAAGAAAACTCAACAACCAATCCAACACAAAATCCACCAACACAGAGAGGTGGGTCCTCACTTGCCACCTCCTCTCTATGCCATTTGAAAATTCAAAAGACTAAAAAAGACTACTCCAAAAAGGTAATATATGATATGTCTTATTGCTACCCTTCTTATTTGTCTCGATTGTTACTTAAATTATTTATTACAAACGAAATGTCCCATTTGGTGTAATAACGTTATAGGATGGTTATCTTAATTTTTTTCTCTCATTTTGTCTATACTTATTAATTTAATAACCTCATTTTATTATTTATCCTACTTTTTTTGTAATAGCTCTTTATGTATCTTATTTTTCTCGTAAATTTACCCTTCAAATTATTAATATGTAACGATAAAAAATAATACAATCTATTTAAATATTATATTTATTAAAATAATACAATATAATCCTAAAATTATACATTTTACACCCATCAGTATAGTTTTATATTTGCATGGGCATATAGAGATTGTGACTTTACATTGTAGGACTATACACCCTATTAGACATTAGCAGATCTTATTGGGATAATAAATAAAGAAACTTGTCCTCAAAGAACATCTTCCTTTTTTATTCTCTCTCTCTTCTCTTTATCAGTTTTTTTTTCTCTTTTTATTTTTATTTTTATTTTTTTAATCCTTAAAAGTAAAGAAACAAAGCATCTCTTACACCCCACCCCCCACACCTTGTCTTTCTTTGCTTACAATTAGTTACTTAATATCAGTTCAAAATTATTTATGAGGTAATAATACGTTTCTACGGTTAAAATGTTTTTTTAAAAATTCGAGACAACTTATGTACTAATATATACTGAAAAGTTTGGAATCTCTACTTTACTTTGAAACATCAATATTGGTCAATTTCTTACCACCTGTTTTGCATTTTCTGAGCACAACAATAACTGTACAAATATTCCTCTTATATTCATTTTCCATGAGAAACTTGCTTTATACTGCATTTCACCTTTGCCCTTAGCTTCCTTTATCTACTTTTACAGTACATAACATATTCCCCACAACATTTACACATCATATATCACAAGCTCCACATTTACAAAATTTAGAGTTTCAATTTTTTGTAAAAAATATAATGAGTATTTTAACAAGAGCCCCAAAGAATTCTTGGCAGCCAGTGATGATTGCTGATACAACAATTCATAAGTACTGGCTTAATTGGAGGTTCTTGCTATGTTGCATTTGGGTTTTAACATCAATGATTTTTGCAGCAATACTTATAAAGAAGTATGAAGGTCCTCGAATTCGAAAAAATGGAAACAGTGAAGCCCAGAAAACAGAGTCCTCTGGTTTATTGTATCAAGATGAAGTTTGGAGGCCATGTCTCAAAACTATTCACCCTGCTTGGCTTCTTGCATTTAGAGTTTTCGCCTTTTTGATTCTTCTGTTGTTGCTAATTTTAAATGTTACTGTTGATGGAGGGGAGATTTTTTACTATTACACTCAGTAAGTAACGTTGTTACAGAGAATGACTGTTATAGATAAGTCTGACTTAGTTTTAAACGGTTTTAACATTTGATTTTTGTTGTGGAATAGGTGGACATTTACGCTGATTACTATTTATTTCGCGGTAAGTGAGAGTAAAATTCATGGTTCAATGGGTACATTTTTCGTGTCTTATGTTATAATATAATGTTTGTTTTTATGTAGATTGGATCTATTCTGTCGATGTATGGATGTTATAAGTATCACAATAAAATTGGTATTGATGGAACTGATATTGAGAGATTAGATACTGAGTATGGTTCACAAAATTCAATTGCTGTAAAACATATGGGGGAAAATGCAGAAGCAGAACAGCCTTCTCGCCAAATTGCTGAGTTTTGGGAATATGTTTTTCAAATAATTTTTCAGGTATATCATGATTCGATTCAATGAAATTTGAGATGTGAAGTAAACAACTTTTGAACTTTTTTAATTAAAGATTGTTTCTTTCTTGTTGTTATAGATGAATGCAGGGGCTGTAACGCTTACGGATTGTGTCTTCTGGTTCATACTTGTTCCATATTTAACCATTAAAGGCTACAAGTTAAATTTTGTAAGTATGCTAATTACCTCAATGAAGTTGTGAAAATTTTGTTTCTAAATGTTATGTTATCTATGTTGCAGTGGATTATAAATATGCATTCAGTCAATGTTGTATTTCTACTTGGTGATACTGCTCTGAATTGTTTGGTAAGTTGCATACTTTTATTGATACCAAATGTGGTGTTCGTAGATTTAATATAGTTACTGATCAGCAGCTAATTCCCATTGTTATGCTATTTCAGCGGTTTCCTTGGTTTCGGATTGGATACTTCTTTCTGTGGACAGGAATTTATGTTATTTTCCAGTGGGTTGTTCATGCCTGCATTTCAATCTGGTAATGATAATGCTATATTTATATGTTGTTATATTTTCAATCTTGTTTGATTGATTAATTAGTATCGATGTTATTTTGTTAAACAGGTGGCCCTATCCATTTCTTGATCTATCATCTTCAGTTTCACCTTTGTGGTATGTACTCCCTATCATGTCCTAAACTATACAAAAGAGCTATGTTGCTTGGATTCTTTAAAAATGTCGTGTATGCAGAATCCTATAAATTTTGTGTATTTTTGGAGGACCAGACATAGGTACAATGACATTTTTGGAGAGTCCGAGTAGCATAGACAAAAAGTCCTGAATTTGTTTTGGCAAATAAACTAGCAAATTTACTGTTGATTCTTGATGGTTGCTCTCTTTAATCAAGAAAATGAACTATTCAATTGATATTTTCAGGTACTTGTTGGTGGCATTTATGCACATACCATGCTATGGTGTTTTTGTTTTGGTAATGAAGCTGAAACACCATTTGCTTTCGAAGTGGTTTCCTCAGTCTTATCAGTGTGCAATATGATACAACAACTTCCACACGCCTCAGTCCCAACCAAGTCAGGATCGGCTTTATGAATCCTCATTGTACAAGGCCAAATAACAAATTTTCAGCTTTCAAGACGGCTATACTAGGGGAAACACTTTTCTATATATGTCAGAGAATATGACAGCAGTTCGCGTTTTGAACACCAAACTTGGATCTTTTGTTCTTTTTTCTGGAAGGAACGACGAAAACAAAAAAAAATTATGTAGCAAAGTAGTTGTGAATCTTTAGAAGTTTAGGCAAAAAAAAAATACAGTGATTTAAACTTCTGGTTTGTTAGATGTACATCTTGGGATAACTATGGAACAGAGATTTGTTATTCATATAACTTATTATTGAGCTCTTTACTTGCAATGTGTATAGATGATTCCATATTAATTATAAAGAAGTGTAAACATTTCTTTCCCCTTCTTTGTTCATTTCTAATCCTGGCTCCGCCTCTGAGTCTTGGGTATTAGACAAGAGAGAATTAGTAGTAATTTGTTATTGTAATTTCTCTATTTCAGTTTGTTAATACAATATTCAATCTTCACTGTTGTTGAGTATTTGGAGTAGAAGATTAGTATTGACTACAATGTGC